ACTCCTACTATATGCTAAAATGGTGCTATAGTTGAAAATAGCTTTTTGTGAACATTTTCAGTCTTCACTGCAACGTTTGGCATTGGGTAACAAAAGCTAGGAACAAAAATGTTCAAGAAATTAATGAGACAAAAATATCTTCAATAATAGGTTTGAGTTCCTAGTTTATAAAATAATTAAAACTTTAAAGTTGTAACTAGCCGAAACCGGTTTGGCTCAGTGGATGGAGCGTCGGCTTGCGGACGGAGGGGTCCCTGGTTCGATTCCGGTCAAGGGCATGTACCTGGGTTGCGGTCACATCCCCAGTGGGGGATGTGCAGGAGGCAGCTGATCGATGTCTCTCTCTCATCGATGTTTCTAACTCTCTATCTCTCTCCCTTCCTCTCTGTAAAAAATCAATAAAATATATTTAAAAAAATATGTTTAAAAAAAAAAAACAAACACAAAAAAAAACTTTAAAGTTGTAACTAGATGAAGAACATACAGGAAGTTCGATACATTTCCTCAAATTGGATGTCAATCTGTCAATATGCTTCCTCTAACCACAACTGTCAAATAGTCAATTCTATTTTGGAGGGCCATAGAATTGAAGAGTGCTTGTTTACCATGTGAAAAACAGGTATGATTTTCCCCCAAAGCATACATTGAAGTGATTTTTACTAAATAAAAGTTTTTTCTTATTCTATTTAAACCTGATTTTATTTATACAATATTACTGATATGACTTTTCTGGCAAAGTAATTATAACTTTTTCTATTCATGTATTCCACACTTACCTGAATATAAAAAGTTTTAATTGTTTCACCAACAAGGAAACAAAAGAATATATTTAACTCATCGCTTATAAGTATATCATTTTGAGTGAGTTCAAAAGTTTTAAAACTCAGAAACCTTGAGTTGTATGCAAATTTATAAATGGGTAGAAAAATACCTTTACCGAGTAAGCATTTTCACAATATATGCCTTGCATGTGTGTAGGAAACTTGTTTTAGTCCCTATTTAATGGATTTAAAAATTGGGTATGATCAGGGTTGTCCACTATATGGACAGAAATCAACATATCCTAAGTCTCAGTCTGGTATCAATCCATTTTTAGGACTAATAAACAATCTGAAAATGTTCTTGTCAGAGAAACTATGCTGGTGGGTCTTTGTGACCATTTCTAATACTTATCTTTATATTTAAAATTTTTTATATATGGAACTAAAGAATAACTCCCTATAAATAAGGCTTAAGTTATTGGGTCCATGGGTACAGTTCATTTTTCTGCTAGAATAACAAGGAGTTCACCCAACTATTCTACTCAGAAAGTAGCAGAGGCTTGTATACTGAAATTCAATAGTAAATACAGATAACAAGAAACTTCCTTTATTTTACCAGTGCTAATAAAAAGTGGCTCCCAAGTTTCATAAAGTTCTACTGTTGTTTGTTTTTGTTTCAGTGACTCATCTAGGTGGACAGGATCAAATGATTTAAAGTTAGCCAACAAGACCTAGAATTTAAGTTGGAAATTCTTTAAATGCATATTTTAAAGAATACAGTAAATAATTGACACACAAAACAAAGATGCTTAATAATTATGCAAATGAAAATTTAGAAAAGAATAAAATGTAAGTTAAATGTAAATTAAAAAAGAACCACTTCTTAAACTATGATCCTCATGAAAGACAAACATAAAGGGAAGCAGTGGAAAGGGGATAGTTATGTTTGGCATTTGTTCCTTTAAAATACTAAAAATAACTTTACTTCTATTTTACGTACCAAGTTTTGAAAGCTGAATTCAAACTGCAGCTTAGAATAATGGAACGAAAACACCACTGCTCCAATAACTGTCTAAGAAAAGTTAATAGAGTTTTCCAAAGTATATAAGTTACTTCTTGGGAATACTTGCACACCAGGGGGAAAAAACTACTCCTATAGAAGAAATATATTATGCATTTTGACTGTGCACTCATGTTTTTAATCATTATGTTCTCAGTGCACTTCTCTACATTGTGATAGCCTATAACAAGCATGTCAAACTCATGGCCCACAATGAATATTTTTGCGGCCCAGCCAATATAACGGTATGTAAGAAACGTTTTAATAAAAATTTCATGACTTAATTTTTACAATATCCTGTTATAGATAATTACTAATAACAAACTACAACATTCGCTAATGACTGATTACTATAATCATGTTGCATTCATTTCCCTTACATGGCTTACACACAGGCGGGCCATTTTTTTCCACTAACACTAGCAGCAAATATTTTAGCAGCCTATTGTCATGTCATTAGTCTTGGACTGACTTTTTTGGTGTGCACAACAGGAAATATTTCACTTTTGGAGAACAAGAAAAATAGGTTTATTTGCGTTACGTTTATTAATTTGTGCAGTTAATCAGTGTCTGGTAAGTTAATGTTCAAGAAAAAATAATAATTTTTATTAAAATGTTCTATTATTTTATGTTAACGATTACTCATTTATTTCAGCCCTTTGTATTCAGCATGTCCCTATTGAAATAAACCTACATTTCTATGAAAATTGAAGTTTTGTTTTTTTGTGGCCCACAAAAAGTTAACCTTGTTTATTTGGCCCGTGTTAGCCTTTGAGTTTGACATGCTTGTCCTATAACATGGACTCAATCACAGGCTCTTTTGGATTAGAATCAGTGATGTTTTTGATGACCATTTGGCCATGTGATATGCTTTGGTACAAACTTTTGAGCAACAGCTTCCTTGAAGGACAAACAAATAGGTTAGATGCATAACAAGGCTAATTCTTTTAAACCCAAAGCTGCTATCACTCCATGACTAGTTTCTTCCATTTATCTTCCTAAATCATTCTCCCACTTAGCACTTTTCCCACTTACACAGGTGTCCAAGCCTGAATGAAGTTGAAGAAAAATGAAGCAAAATGAACAACTGGCCAATGATTTCTTAATGCAATTCAGATACCTGTGTTTTATAGTCAAATATAAATTATTTAGGCACTAGCTATTCATTTTGCAGGTTACCCAGACTGTTCTTTCTGTTTATCTTCTTCATAGTTTGGACATTTTCTTTTAAAAAATGATTCTATGACAGGGCAAGGAAAACAGAAGTAACTGACCTTATAACAAAGACTGCCATTTATTATTAGTTTGAGTTTAATAGACAAGCCATTTGATGAAAGAAAACTATTTATAGATCATTTTAACTCAGGTTTAAAACTTGTGTCTTTTGGATATGATGTAACTCCAGGAAACATTCTGTTTAACTTGTAAGTGCTAAAAAAGCAAATGTAACTGAACATTCAAAAATCAGGTGTCACGGGAAAAGCTAGATTTTTCAGCTTACTGCTCTCCCCCAAATGAAAAGATTTGGTAGCATTTGACCCAATTGCCCTACAGAAACAACCCGCAAGAGAAGAAGGTAGTGGTTTTACCCTGTCAATGGGACAAGAGCCACAGTCTCTGCCATTTGCTATCATCTCCAATACTAAGGTCAAATGTCAGTAGTCATGTGCTATCGACGCTTATCTTTATTCCCCCCAATTATTGAGAATATTTCTTTAAACCCATGACTACTAAGTAAAAAAATAAAAAAAAATATGCCTAAAATGCCTTATGTTTCTAAAACACATGAAAGTAAAGAAAAATATTACATGGTCAATATACAAATAAAATGTCTCTGTCACAGACTCCAATTTAAAATGGCATTACAAAATAAACCACAGAAAGACCTGATTTCTATTTTAGGAAGTTACTAGAATTTTGACAACTGACACATAAAGTAATTCATATAAAATAAATGAATTTTGTGACATTTAGAAGTATAGTGAAGCCTTCATGCCACTCTTTTTATGTGCATTTGATTAACAACCACATAGCCTATAAAGTACTTATTAAATTTCTCAAATTAGACATCTGCAACTGTTCTAAACTTTATTTTTATGCTAGATTTTATTTATTTTTGTTATTCTTACAACTAAATCTAGTATCTAGATAAAATAACTTTACTTATAAAGACAGTATTTATGGTTGTTGTTGTTTTTTTGTTTGTTTTTATACAGTGCTTGTTTTAAAGCTACTCCTGGTATTAATATGAAGGAATAAATATGAAGGTATTTTTTTAAAAAACCTCACCCAGCCCTGACCGCTTTGGCTCAGTGGATAGAGCGTCGGCCTGTGGACTGAAGGGTCCCGGGTTCGATTCCAGTCAACGGCTTGGTTGTGGGCATATCCCCAGTAGGGGGTGTGCAGGAGGCAGCTGATCGATGTTTCTTTCTCATCGATGTTTCTAACTCTCTATCCTTCTCCCTTCCTCTCTGTAAAAAATCAATAAAATATATTTTTAAAAAATCTTCACCTGAGGATATGGCTTTATTAAGTTTGGAGAGAGGGAGAAAGAGGGATGGAGAGGGAGGGAGAGGGAGGGAGAGGGAGGGAGACTGGCTGACTACTGCACCCCCCTACTGGGGGATCAAGCTTGCAACCTGGGCCTGTGCCCTAACCAGGAATCAAACCGGCAACTTTTCCGTTCGGGATATCAGAATCACTTCTGCCGGAGAGGGAGAGGGAGAGGGAGAGGGAGAGGGAGGGGGAGACAGACATCAGTTGCCTCCCATACACTCCCTGACCAGGGATCATACCCGAAACCTAAACCTAGGTATGTGCCCTGACCTGGAATCAAACCTGCCACCTTTTGAGATACGGGACAATGTTCATACACCAAATGAGTCACCTGGACAGGGAAAAGCTATTTTAATAATTTATTTTTAAAATGCTCATAGCAAGAAATCTTAAACCATACCATTGTGTGTGTTTTTTGAGTTCCTTCAATTACTAGTGTCATTTAATAAATTAGACCATTCTGTGTTTTTCAAATACTGTAATTTTCTTAACTAATTACTAATTTTATATGTCACTTATAAATTCTTTGTTCATAATGTTTCTAAAAATTTTGGTTTTTGCTATAGTAATGTTGATTTTTAAAATTTCCCCCCGAGATAAAGCAAGTTTTCAATTTTGTTTACCATTCTCATTGCTATAGTTCATCAGCATGCCACAAAAGACAGTCAAGAGCTTCTCATTGGCGGGATCTGTTATACTGCACAGTGACCTTAAATGGTCAATTACAATCTGTGCACCACCTGCTTGGTCAACTGCACTTCTGCCCTCATCTGTAAAACAAAGAGTTAAATTTAAAATAAAATAAAAAAGAAATGTACCTTACAGTTTCAAATATAAAACATAACAATGCTATTCCTTATTTAATGAGTAAATAAAAAATAAACCTAAGAAGGGCATTAAGTGTCTTTTTGGAAATATAAAACAAAACAAATAAACATGGAAATGTGGGTGGGATGGGGAAAAGAGATAATCACTTTCTAAAGGAAGAAAAGGTTATTTGCATTGGCATAATATAGGAGCTTAAAGAACTTCTCTATGTTTTAGGAGTTTATAACTATAACATGAAATTTCCTCCCTCTTTCACAAATGACAATTCTGCATAAGGAGTAAAAAAATAGAACTAATATTCTTTTGGAAATTTTTCTCAACTTGAAAACCACTAAATATATCTTTCTATCAGTGGTTCTCAAAGTTAGATATTATCAAAGAAATCTGTCTATGGCATAGTATACTTTTAGATCACAATATATAATGCCTAAATATTAAGATTAGGGTTTTTTTAATGACATTTTCTATAGTGCATAAGTATGTTCTTTTAAATTCTTGGTAGTTTGTGAGCCTCACTTTTCCTTTTTCTCTCCAATCTAGAACACACCAATATAGTTCAACATTACAACAAATGGTCAAATGATGGTCAAACATACATTATGTTATATACAACATGTCATTTAACTATTGGAACATATAGCTTTAGAATACTTTCTAACCTTGGAACATAAGAAAGAAGATGAAAAAAAAAGTCTTTCTAAATCTGACTTCCTGATATAAAGTATGGTAGACTCCAGGAAAAGTGATGTCCAAGAGTTTTGACAGCCATAAATATAAGCCACATACATCAATTTAATAGTAGCCACATTAAAAATGTAAAAAGAAATAGGTTAAAAATTCATTTTAGCTATATATTTCATTCAATTCAATATATCTAGAGTATGATCATCCCAACATGCAATCAACCTACAAATTATTAATGAAATATTTTACATTCTCTTCTTTGTAATAAATCTTTGAAATATATATGTATTTTGCACTTACATTTACATGTCAATTCAGACTAGCCACATTTTAATTGCTCAAAGATCCTAATCTGGCTAGTGGCTTGTTACAGTGGATAATGCAGCTATAGAATCATCAAGAAAGGATCAGTAAAAGAAATGGCTCACAAAGGAAATATATGTATAAAGTTAGTACATAAAAAACTTTCTAATGCAAGAACTGAAACTGAGGTCCTATATGTTGTTTCACTGTCCAATAATATTACTATATATATAAAAACCAAAGCAACCGTTATGACCTAATGACCAGTCACTATGATGCTCACTGACCACCAGGGGGCAGATGCTCAATGCAGGAGCTGCCCCCTGGTGGTGAGTGCGTTCCCACAGCCAACCTCCTGTGGCTGGAAAACCTTCTGCAGTCCCTGCCCCTGGCCGGATGGCTTTCTGAGTGTCCTCTTTTGAAAAGATTCTATTTAGTTCTTGTGACCATTTTTTGATTGGATTGCTTACTTTCCTTTTGATGAGTTGTATGAGTTCCCTGTAAATGCTAGAGATTAAACCCATATCAGAGATAACATTGGCAAATATGTTCTCCCATGCAGTGGGCATTCTGGTTGTTTTGTTGGTTTCTTTTACTGTGCAGCTTTTTATTTTGATGTAATCCCATTTGTTTATTTTCTACTTAGTCTCTCTTGCCCTAGGATCTGTCTGTAAAGATATTGCTACAGCATGTCTGAATTTTGCTGCCTATGGAGTCTTGTAGGATTTTTATGGTTTCCCGTCTTACATTCAAGTACTTTAACCATTTTGAGTTTGTGTATGGTGAAAGTTGGTGGTCTAGTTTCATTTTTTTTGCATGTATCTGACCAAATTTCCCAGCACCATTTATTAGAGGCTATTTTGATTCCATTGTATGCTCTTGCCTCCTTTGTCAAATATTAATTGAGTACAATAACTTGGGTCAACTTCTGGGTCCTCTATTCTGTTCCATTGCTCTATATGTCTGTTCTTGTGCCAGTACCAGTTAGTTTTGAGAACCGTGGCTTAGTAATATAGTTTGATATCTAGTATTCTGATCCCTCCAACTGTTCTTCTTTCTCAGGATAGCTGTGGATATTCTGGGTAAGTTTTTTATTCCAGATGAATTTTTGGAGAGTTTTTTCTAGGTCTTTGAAACATACCATTGGTATTTTAATAGGTATGGCATTGAATCTATAGATTGCTTTAGGGAGTATGGACATTTTAATGAAGTTGATTCTACCAATCCATGAACATAGTATGTTCTTCCATTTTCTTGCTCTATCTCTTTTTTCAATGTCCTGTATTTTTCCGAGTATAGGTCTTTTACGTCCTTGGTTAAATTTATTCCTAGGTATCTTAATTTTTTGTGCAATGGGAAATGGGATTATTTTTTTCATTTCTCTTTCTGTGAGTTCATTATTGGTGTATAAAAAGCCATAGATTTCTGGGTGTTGATTTTGTATCCTGCTACATTGCCAAATTCATTTATTAGGTCTAATAGTTTTTTATGGAGTCTTTGGGGTTTTCTATGTATAATATCATGTTGTATGCAAATAAGGACAGTTTCATTTCTTCTTTTCCAATTTGGATACCTTTTATTTTTTCTTCTTGGCGCATCGCTATGTCTAGTACTTCTAGTACTATGTCGAACAGGAGTGGTGAAAGTGGGCATCCTTGTCTTGTTCCTGTTCTTAAGGGAAATGGATTTAGTTTTTGCCCATTGAGTATGTTATTGGCTGTAGGTTTGTCATATAAGGCTTTTATTATGCTGAGGTATGATCCCTCTATTCCCACTTTGCTGAGTGTTTTTATCAGGAAAGGGTGTTGGGCTGTAAACAGTTTGGCTCAGTCGATAGAGCAATGGCCTGAGGACTGAACGGTCCCAGGTTCAATTCTGGGTTGAGTTTTGGAAGCTTGTATTTTACTGGGAATGTGTCCATTTCATCGAGGTTGTCCAGTCTGTTGGAGTAGAGGTGTTCGTAGTATTTTTTTCACAATCCTTTGTATATCAGTGGGATCAGTTGTTACTTCACCTCTTTCATTTCTGATTTTGTTTATTTGGGTCCTCTCTCTGTGTTTCTTGGTGAGCCTGGCTAGAGGTTCATCAATCTTGTTTATCTTTTCAAAGAATCAGCTCTTAGTTTCACTGATCTATGTCATTTTATTTCTGCTCTGATCTTTATTATCTCCTTCCTTCTGGATACTGTGAGCTTTTCTTGTTGTCTCTTTCTAATTCTTTAAGTTGCAGGGTTAGGTAATTTATTACCATTTTTTCTTGTTTTTTTAGGTAGTCTTGTAGAGCTATGAACTTCCCTCTCAGGACTTTCATTGTGTCCCATAGATTTTGGATTGTTTTTTCATTGTCCTTTGTTTCCAGGATGCTTTTTATTTCTTCTTTGATCTCTGTGGTAACCCAATCATTGTTTAATAGCATGCTATTTAGCCTCCAATTTTTGATTTTTTCCCATTGTTTTTATTGTAGTTGATTTCTAGTTTTATTCCATTGTGATCTGAGAAGATGCTTGATATGATTTCAGTCCTCTTGAACTTGTAGAGACTTGTTTTGTATCCTAATATGTGGTCTATCTTTGTGAATGATCCATGTGCCCTTGAGAAGAATGTCTCTTCTGCTAAAAAAGGTACTTGTTGGTCACCATTTTTATTCTTTACATGTGTTCCTTCTTCGTTTCCCTCTATCTTCTTTTTACAGCAGTCCCTTTAGCATTTCTTGCATTGATGGTTTCGTTGTAATAAACTCTCTTAGTCCTTTTTTGTATGTGAAGCTCCTGATTCCACCTTCAATTTTGAATGATAACCTCGCTGGATAGAGTATTCTGGGATTCAGTCCCTTGCTTTGCATCACTTTGTAAATTTCCTTGCATTCCTTTCTGTCCTGATGTGTTTCTGTTGAGAAATCATTTGATAATGGGAGATTCCTTGTATATAACTTTCTGGCTCTCTCTTGCAACCTTTAAGATTCTCTTTGTCCTGAACTTTTTAAATTGCAATTACAATGTGTCTTGGCATGAGTCTTTTTGGGTTCATCTTGTTTGGGACTCTGTGCTTGTGTAACTTTTTTCTTCCCCACATTGAGGTAGTTTTCTGACATTTCTTCAAATAGGTTTTCTAACCCTTGTTCCTCTTCCTGTTGTTCTAGCACCCCTATTATTCGTATGTTGCTTCGTTTCATGTTGTCCCAAAGCTCCCTTAGGCTCTCCTGTCTTTTAGTTTTTTTCTCCAATTTCAGTTCAGTCTGGGTGTTTTCCTTCCCCGTCTTCTAATTTGCTAATTCTGTCCTCCATTTCTCCTTGTCTACTGTTGAAACTTTCCATGGTATTTTTTATTGTAGTTATATCACTCTATTTCTTCTTGATTTTGACATAAGTTGTTTTTTCATCCATCCTGTTTATGAACTGTATGAACCTTATTCTGAATTCTTTTTCTGACATATTGCATGCCTCCATTTCACTTAGCTGCTATTCTGATTATTCCTTTCCTTTCCTTTGGGGGTTTCTTTTTCTCCCCATTTTTGCTCTCACCGAAGGATCTAGTTGTCCAGTCAAGCAGGGGCTATTCCTCGGCCGGCAGCGGCTCCTTGGGCAGCAGCTGCACCTCAGTTGGCAGTGGCTCCTCTGGGGGCGTTGCTCGCAGCAGTGGTGGCTCCTCTAACTGGCAGGGGTAGGCTGCTTGCACAGTTGCTGCTCCTCCTAAAATTTATATCTTAATTTTCCATAATTATGAGGTATCCAACCACTGGATAAAATGAAGCCCAGGAACTCTTTAAGTCCTGCTACTTTCTTTAATAATGACATGTCACCCAAACTACTTTCCAGCATAAATGTGATCTTTCTTCACACTAGGTATGAGCAGGGCTTTAAATCTAAAGAAATACTGCACTTCTATTACAAAAGCAGGAAGTAGTAAAATGTTTGTACCTCAAAAAGAAAAAAATTGCTACTACATTTATTTCATTA